CAAAAAAGTAAATATAGCATACTACTTTTTGTGTCAAAAAGATGTGAAAATTTATATAGATCTGCTTATCTTTGCAACAAGTAACTGAGCAAGGATAAATGAGAAAACAATGGAATGGGATACCTACAAAGGATGCTGAAAATGAATGGAGTGACAGAGAATGGAGTGACACTTCTGATACATCTGACTTTTCAAAGCATGTTAATTTTGGAAGCATTCAAAAACATAAATAAAAATGAAGGGAAGGAACTGAATTTAAACACAAATGAATCCAACTATATTTCAAATAAATATTACCTTAGAGAAGGGTTAAAAAAAATCACACAAAAAAACAAAAATCCCTAACCCAAATAGCTTTTGAAGAGTTTCCAACTATATACCCTTAAAATAAGGGAATCTCATCCTGAATTCTTTATTCTAGGTTTGTTTCCTGCAGTAGTATGCGCATACAAATTCTGAAAGTTATAGGATCAAGCAAAACAAACAAACCAAAAAAACCCATTAACAATGTCAAGAGCCAGGGTACTCAAGAGCCAGGGTTCTCAGGGTAGATGGGAAATACAAATTTAGAATCAGGAGGGGAAGAAAAGAAAGAACACTGTGGTATTGGAATGAAATCAGAAATATCAATATGAAATTATGATTTCTAAAAATTTATACATTCTTCTCAGTTAAGTTCTTTTAAAAGGCCAGGAAGCAGTAACACTCCAAAGGGAATGAGTACATCCAACACCCAGATCTTGGTTTCAAAATACCATTTCCCACTGAAAATGAACCAGGGCTCCTGAGAGAAATTGCTGATTCTAGAATTGGGAAAGGAAAGTATAAATCTAAAATAACTTGTGACGGAAAGGAAGGAAATGCTCCCACTCACCAAATCTAGGACAATTTGAACAGCAAAATAAATGTTCTATAATGGGTAATAACACTACAAAATAAGAATCCATGAGTCCAAACTATTAGTAAAAAAAAACATGTACATATATAGGAGTGAAGGGAGGGCTATTTCTTAGAATGCTTTTAAAATAAAGTGACAGAATTAGGGAGAAAAGTCACAATTTTTCAACTTTCAGAGTAAAGATTGCTTCAGGCAAAAATTATCAATATATATGCAATCTAGGGGTGAAGTGTGATAAGGATCTGGATATGTGCATGATCTCAAAGTGTCTCTCCACAAACAGCTTACTGGTTGCAAAGGGAAAAATATTAACTACATACTGGAGAAGCCAGACCACACTGGACCAGATGATCAAATAAATTAATATTACTAATAATGGGCATATAGATATTGTAGGCCTCCAGATGTGACCCCTTGAGAAGAATACACTTGTATAATATTCCAGTCAGAAAGGTATCGCCTGGATCTCATAACAACCCATCAGAAATCCAAACTAAAGAACATTTCATCAAATAACTAGCCTGTACTCTTAAAAAATGACAATGTCATAAAAGATAAAGGCTGAGGAACTGTTACGAATTAAGATTCTAAGAGACGTGACAACTAAATGCAATATATGATCTTGAATTAAATCCTGGACTGAGAAAAAAATATGATAAAAGACATTACTGGAACTGACAAAATTAGAATATGGATTATAGATTAAAGCATTGTATCACTGTTAAATTTCCCATATTTGATAAATATGCTGTGATTACAGAAGTACACACCAAAGTATTGCTCTGTAAAGGGGCAAAACAAATGCAACCTCTTCTCAAATAGTTCCCTCCAAATAAAGAATACATAAAGAAATTCCACAAAATGTTAACTTCACTGTATTATCCTTGTAACTTTTCTTTAAGCTTGAAATTATTTTAAGTCAATTAGTTTCAGAACATATCTAATAAAATAGACCATAAAGCAAAATAGATAATACCAGTTTAAATCCTTCTTTTACCCAAAGACTACTTCATTTCGAGATCTTTAGTTGGATCAGGAAACAAATACCAGATTTAAACTATTTGAAACTTTAATGACTTTTGAAAGAAATTAAACATGTTAAATACTAAAACAGAAAAAGGATTTCATGCTAACTTTGGTGAGCTTGGGAATTTAAATTGATAGCAAATACACTTTTGTGAAATCTCCCTACAGAAAATGTTGCACAATGTGTAAGGTATACTATAATGTACAAAAATGTTTAATACAGTATTTATAATAGCAAAAAAATAGTGAAAATATAAAAACCTACCATTTGAAGAATAAATTATGATACATCCACACTACAGAATATAACAGTTTTTTAAAAGAATGAAGTGTATTATGAACACAAAAATATGGATATACTACATAGTATAGAATGAAAACAAAAAAAGTTGTTGATATATCCAGTTGTACAAAAAATCAGAGTTCTGTTCGTGTGTTTACATAAGTGCTCAGAAACAAAAACCTGAAAGAATGCACCAGCATTAGTTTACCAGTGACTACCTCTGGGAAACGGAGAGTAGGTGTTTGAATTTTTTTCCTAAAAGATCATGTACTACTTTTACAATCTTAAAATAACACTATTCTTAGAAATAAGATTGAAATATTTTAGTGAAGAACATAAAATATAACTCTGATAGCAGAACTATAACATATTCTTATTACTCAACTATAACAAGATGTTATTATGTCCAAGTACCTTTGTACAACTGGTTCCATGTGTTTTCATTTTTAATTTAACAAAGCCAACAACTTCTTTTTGGAAACAGGTAAGATATGAGTCCTAAATTGAAAAATCCTTACTTAATGACAGTTAACAAAAACTTTAAAAAGCAAAACAAATATACACACAATGTCTTTAAGAAAGTTTATTCTGAGAATTTCAGTTGACAGCCAAACCAAAGTATAATCTACACAATGTACTTTACAACTGTAAGTGATTTATGACAGTAGAGAAACATAATAAATTCTTGAACTTTGAATTACTGACCATCTTGTTATTCACTTTATAAACAGGTAAGATTATCATTCAGGTGTCCTTTCCTTAACAATATATGCTAGGTTGTATAAATAACTATGAATTAAATTCAACAAAATATTTATTAGGTTGTATGTTTGCAAAATTGTGTATTAGTAATACAAAGACAATCCCTAGTTAAGAGTATCTTACAAATTTTCTTGAAGTTTATTTTAAATTGAATGCAATAAGTAAAATCAAGGACTCTTTAGAATCTCAACTACTTCGTAAATTAGGTAATTTGGGTGACAAATTAACTCAGCCACTCTTTGCAATATGTTTAAAGTCACATTTAGAGTACATTTGTGAATACGCTGAATAGGCTCACTAGTACATACTTTGATAAGCAGTGGTTGCACTCTTAAACGACAATCACCATTGAGAGCATGTTTATGCTGGGATTTTTTTAATCTATCTTCCTTTGCACACAAGTCGATCTCTAAGGACCCTTATGGAAAATTTTTTTAGGCTTCTAAAATACTAAAGGAATAGTATCATTACAATTCATTAAAATAAATCAATAGGTATGCAATATATAGATCTATGAACAGGAATTCCATAATTACTCTCAAACTTTCATTACCGGAAGAGCCACACACAATTATGTGTCTGTGCTAAGCATCTTAAGAACGTTGTTTCCTTACATCTCACCTAAGCACCTTCAGAACTATATTTGTTTCCTTGCCCGTGTATACTAAAAGAATTGTCAATTTTCACTCTTTCAACATTTCCCAGTTGAACTAAGCCCCAATCCCTGTACAAGCCTGAGGATAAAAAGATCTGGTTTCTAACTTCAAGGAACGTACAATTCAGCGGGGACAAAAGCACAATGCATGACATCATCATTAACACCTAACTTTCACCAAGAGAAAAAGAAAGGTAGGTAAAGATAAGGCAGTAAGAAAAGTTGCTCTTTGGGGAATAACATACATACATTCAAACAAATATTCATCAATTTTGAAAAATCCTGTTTGATGAGTTATCTGCAAGAATACACAGTGAAAAAATAAAGTGCTCTAAGGCAGGACACTTGGTTTTCCGATTCTAACACACAGCAGCTGTGTGACTTCAGGCTTGTCATTTAACCAGGCTTGGCCTCAGTTACTCATCTAAAAACGTATTATTTCACTACCCTAAACTGGAATCACTTTACTAGCATAAACCAAACTGTATCCAGTGGTTTCCAAGTCTATGATCTACACTACTCAAATACTCATATATCAGATTCCTCAAGTAATCACGGCCCAGAGAACCAGTGTGAGTAAGCTAGGTGAATTATGGTTCCTAAACAGAACTTTTATATCACCAAGACAATCACCTGCGATAGGTTTGGTATTGTGCTTTGGAATGGCAGTCTTAAAAAGATCATCAAGAATAACTGAATGTTTTAACCGTGTACCTTTCAAGTACAACAACAGGGTATATTCCTACCATGAATTGGAGTTACTGCACTATGGGAACCACGCCTGCTGAGATACCCAAGAGATACCAAGAAAAACCTCTCAAGGGGACAGGGAGAAGGATACTGGATAAGCCAAGACAAGCGTTCCCAATAAATAAGTGTGTAAATAAATAAATAAATAAATGAAATAAGCACCATGTTTTTTCTTCCCCTCCAGCTATGCAGCTGCACACAGAAGAGAAGCACTAGATTAGCATCATCTGCATTTCATTCCGTGTCTTGTGCAATAGCTACCCGCCTATAATAAACAGACCTTGTGCTCAGGGGAAAATTTACTTCCCCGTCCAGTAAAAATGAAGTTCCTATTTTTCAACTAACAACGCCGTCTCCAATCAACATCCACCCTCCTAGGGAGACCAAGCCCTTCTGTCTCCGCCACCTCTGCTGCTGGCCTGTCGCCCCCTACCCTAGAAATCTCCCCTCTTTCGAGCTCCTGCAGCAAGGGTCCTGAAGCTCTGGGGACCGCGGAAGAGGCCTGGGGAGCTGTGCACAGACTGGAGGGGAGTCCAGCCCGGCCCGTGAGCGCCAAGCTGCCTCGGCCGGCCGGGGGCTGGCAGAAGCGGAAGGGGAGCGGCGAGCCCCACGCCACCCCCACTTACCCACTTTGTCCTTCCCGTACATGTGCCCGGCCACCTGATGCGAGAGGGGCACGCAGCCGTTGAGGAAGCAGAGCCTGCCGCCTGCCGGCTTCGAGGTGCCCTCTGGGGGGGCTTCGCTCACCGGTGGGGTCCGTATTTCTGGGGGGCCGGGCGCCTCGAGTCGGAGGGGGGATGGTGGCTCCGTTGCCATAACGGAGAGCTGAAGCTGTGGCCGCAGCTAGAGCAGGAAAAAAATAGGGCGGAGGGAGGGGGGCGCCGAAGAACCCGGGGGGCGCTCAGGCTCGGCCGCGAGGAGGCCCGGGGGTTCCCGCGGCTGGTGCCCGCTGAGGCCCGGGAAGGGGGCCCATGACGCCGCGGAGGCGCGGGCACTCCCCTGCCCAACTCACGGCGGAGCGCGGCTCCCGACTCCCGCTGCTCTGCCGCTGCGGCCACTGTTCCCGGCGCAGCCTTGGAGACGGAACCTGGGCGAGGAGCAGCGGCAGCGGCGCCCCACGCTCCCTGGGGCCCTGACGGCGACGGCGGCCCCACCTCCTGCGCCCCCGCCCCCTCCCGCCGTCCTCCAGTCCCCTCAGCTGCCGCGCGCGTCAGCGCCGCCTGCACCGCCGCCGCAGCTGCGAGCTTCCGACTGCGCGACCCGCGGCCGCCGCCGCTACAGAGCATGCCCAGAGGCTGCCCGACGGGACCCCCTGCAGCGAGGCGGGAGCTCGGCGCTGCCAGCGGGTGCTGAAGGCTACCGGATGGGGCCCGCGCGCTCGCGCTGTTTTTCACCCCCGCCCCTAAGCTGGCTTTACAATGCCTGCAGGGTTACTGTAGCTTCATTCATTCAGGGGGCGTTTCAGCGTTTCCTGGGGTCCGGCTCAAAGACTCCAGGGGCTTCCAGTTGTGAGGAGCAAAATTGGTCACGTGTTGAGAGTTGGAAGGCCGTAGTGCCAAGCGTGGCTTGCGAGCCCATCCTTTAACTGCAATCAACTCCCACCTCGCATAGAAACGAGAAGTAAAAACAGGCAGCTTCTTAAAAAACTCACCTTCAAAACACCCTTTAATTCTAACGCCGCCCCCCAAATTGGGGCCCGCAAACCGCTTTAATAAAGTATTTTGTAATCGACAATTTCCGACTGTAGAAGATAAAAAATAATCTTAGTTTCTTTTTTGAGTACATTTGAAAAAAAAAGAGCCGCTTTGTTTCTCTCCTGTTCAGCCTTTAGCGCAGATTCCATGGTCCTCAATAGATAACTGGCTCAAAAGCGGAGAGTGATGTATACCGGGAGCGACATGAGGTTCTGAAATAATAGTACTCCACAATTGATACCTGTGTGTCTGCCACTGGCATTTTATATGAAAACGGGACGTGGCCTTGCAGCTACCGAACTGAGCAAGAAAACTGTGGATAAAATCTTAGATACCTGATTATGTCAAGTGTTATATCAGCACCTGTTTTTACCCTTAGAAACCTGCACTCCTGGGAGAGACTTAAAATCTGGCCTAGAATCTCTATTCTCAAAGCGCTGCCCCAGGTTCCAAGACTCCGCCCCTTACGATTGCGCATACTCAGTTGCTACCTCTCTGGGCCTCTTCCTCCTCCCCACTTCTGCGGCTGTCAAAATCCAGTCTCAAGACTTCTTTAAGCCTGGGACGCAGCTCCGCGCATGCTCAGCATCAGCTGGGGTGCAATACACACGTGCTTACGGCCAGCCGCGGCGCCTGCGCCGTAGCGGCCTGGAGTCGGTGCGCGTAGGACGTTTCTCGCACCTTGACTCCGGCCCTCCGCGAGAATCTGTTTGTGCTTCAGTGTCCTGTGCACACACACCTTGCAAGCGACGGCGCCATGAGTCTGACTTCCAGCGTACGAGGTGAAGTGGGGCCTGGGAGCGGGTGAGGCTGGAGGCCTGCGCACCGGTTGCAGCTTCCTCAGGTTCCTCTCTGGGATATTAGTTACCGTTGCCCTGCGAGCCCGCCAGTCCTGTAACCTTGAGATGTAGAAGGGCAAGCGCAAGGCGGGCCTGCAGGCTCTCTGGGCCGAACGGGGAACGGGAGCGATGTCGGCATGGATTGGTGATCTCTCCAGGCACAAGTGGCATGGGGGCCATGGAGACATCTACCCAAGTCTGGACGACGTTTCCGTAACTAGCCGTATCTTAAAATCTAATGGTCCCGCCGCTAGCTTTTTTTCTCGTTCTCCTTTGAGACACCTCTGTGTTTTTAGATCACAGAGCTTGGAAAAGAGGAAAGGTTTTTTGTTTTTGTTTTTCACTGCGCCCTCTCCTCAAGTTTAAATCACCGTGGAATCAGACCATCAATTTCTTGCAACCCTGGAGCAATGCGTGACTAATCGCATTTTAGTTTTGCACTTTTTTTTTAGGGGAAAAAACCTAATCCGAGGTCTTCGGTTTTCCCAGTATTGTTTTTTTGTTGTTGTTGTTTTGTTTTGTTTTGTTTTGTTTTGTTTTTTAAATCCCTCTGGCATCTGGCACTCTATGGCAGTAGTCCAGGAGAGAGGATTGAAAACGGAGCTTTGAGCTCTGAGCTTTCTTAGCTTCACTTCCTTTGCGCTAGTCTAGCGTTTGGAAACAGGTCCAATTAAAATTAAGAGACTTTCTAGAAATCGATTAATGTAGAGCCTCACTTTATAACAATTCTTGGTAGTGGTATAACTGTTAATATAATATTGTGCACCAGCTGCGTGATACATGTGATCTTTCTGCCCTAGTAAACCCCACACTTCATGATTTGATTACCTGTAACAGCAGTTAAGAATGTGAAGAGATTGTCCAGAAGTTGATTATAAAGAGCCCTGTTGATTCTTTTGGTAAATATTGAGCATCTGGAGTGCCAGGTTCTGTAAAGACCCCTTGTTAACATGAGACCCAATTTTGTAATCCATTTTTTAAATTAGAGAAATCCGCGTCTGTTGCCAAAAGTTACCTGGCAGAGTTAGGATGATAACCCATGACATTTTTAAGTTACTAATGAAGTATATAGGAGGTGATTATTTGCAAAACTTATTTCAAAGGATGCTCATCTTGAGAGTCCTTTAAATAGAGGTACCTTGGTGCAGTTAAAATAGAGAGCAATTTTGTTTTGTTTAAAAACCCAAACCTGTGTTTTCTCAGGAATAAGACTGTTGTGTAAAATAAGATACTCCTGTGACTTGAGCCACTAGTAATTTTGTAGGAAGAAAATTAGCACTTAACATGATATGGGCTGAAAAACTCCAACAAATGTTTTTAAATGTGGAGTCATATTGTGAAATGTGAGGTAGGTGAACCCTACGACTTCTTAACACTACCTGCTGACTAATCTTTCTTGCAATAAAGAGGAGTTTGTGGTGTTTTTGTTTTGTTTTGTTTTGTTTTTAATCTAACCATAGGGGAATCCAAAGGTGACTTTCCCACTAGCTTGCTGTTTTCTAAGGGGTAGGAAGTTGCCAGAGAAGAGGGTTCTCAGCTTAAACTTGAAGTACTCAACTTTGTTATGAGAAGTAAATACTTTTTATTTCACCTAAAAGTGTAAAGGTTGTTACTGAAACCTTTGTAAATCTCTTTATCCAGCACCTTCTTACCTTCTTCCTCAAATACAGTAGTGTGGCAAAGTAGGGACAGATAATGTATTGGTAATCCACCTTGTAATGGTTAGATCTCAAATTGTTCTCGATTTTTAAGCCACACTAAAAAAATCTAAATTTTTGATCTTTGAATTTGGGGAAGATAAATTAAGAAGATGTCTCTTCTCAACTAAATAAATTAATAATTCTTAAGGGCTTAAAATAGTATTGGCCAGTGGTATGCACTTTGTAAGGATATGTTAAATGAAAAATAAAAGAGTGTGTATCTATGCAGAATTCTTATTTATATTCAGAAGAAAAAATAATGGGTTGTAGGTTATAAGTAAAATTAATGGGGATTAGGCCAGGACAGGAACTTGGGAGAGGCATTGGGGATAAGTGATTGGAATTGAAATCTAGAAATCTTATTCAGTGAGATGGTTCTTGATACCCTTTGGATAGGCGATACCAACTTCACTTTTCCCTTATTGAGGAATAATCAATGTACTTATGCCCAACATATTTTTTATTTAATATCTGATACTAGTTTAATATAGTTTCTAACTTCAAGCATCTTTCACTACTATGGAATCCTCTGTCTCTAGTGACTCATGCACAGTATATGACTTTTAAGAAGTTTACTATATGTCTTGCTCCTTTTAGAGGTACCAACCTCTCAAACTCATTGAATCTGCTCTTTCAGGTTATAAATGATAAATAAATATTAAATGACATTAGGGACCATAGATGAAACAGGATTGGCAGTGAGTTGATCCTTGTTGGAGCTCAGTGAGGGTAAAATGGGAGTTCATTATAATAATCCCTGTATATGTCTAAAATGTTCCATAATAAAGTTTTATTTTTAATCTGAAGAAATGTTTTAAGTCTCACATGTGATACAGTAGGTTAAGATGAGGCCAAAGATAAGTCATATGTTATAAGAGCAATGTGATGGTAAAACGGACAGAGGTAGTTACAAATTTGAATTAGTAATCTGTTATTTTTTTTTACTCAGCTAACCTTGAACACCACCTGTATGCGAGGCCTTAAGAAAAAAAATAATTACCAGGCACAGCCTGTCAATCTATGGGAGAGACCTAAGGATGAGAAAGATTTACACATAGCTCCCCTCCCCCTCTCCTGAAAAGGAAAGAACCTTCTGATTCTGTGACAGTTGACACTGGGCAGGAGAGGACCATTTTGAACAGAAAAGGGGCTAAAGGAACAGAAACAGGGTGAGATCTTGGTCTAAATTAAAGCAAAATAATTTCCACGGTAGAGAAAAGCTGAAGAATGGGTTACAAACAAGAGATTGTTTTCAATCTCTGAAAAATTCTGAGAAAAAACAGTAATATGTTATACAAACCAGTATTATACAAGAGTAGATCAAGGAAGGAGTGAAAATGAGAAGAATTATTTAGAAATGTATTTTCTGCATTTTGTTTTTCATATTAGTTTATTCATTGTATAGATAGAAAGCACTGTTAAGCAAGATTGGGCAGGGTGGGGTTTGATCTAACTAGGAGTACTTTGCCTCGAGAGATGTCTACGGAGAAGGGAAGTGAGGGTAAAACCAGAAGAGGTAGAAGTAGTGCTCAGGATTTTTCTAGACCCCAGTTCAGAAAGTGTCTGAAAGGTGCTAATTGCAATGTCTTTAAAAATTGGTTTTTGGTTAAGTCTTTTTTTGCCTCTGAGATTGTGTTTATTCTTAATAGAATATATCCACTATCAAGAACTAAATGTCACTTGGGTTTTATTGTTTTTATTTATTTTCTTGGGTTTTCAATTCTTTCTCTAATTGTTAACTTTTAAATCCATCATCATTCTTGCCTGTCTCTACATAGTTTCCTTTTCCTTCTTTTCCCTAGAGTTGCCAGTGGCATCCACAGCTTTTTGCCAGAAAAAACTGATTCAGCCTATAATAATGAAATGATAAAACAGCAACATATTTCTTATTCTGGGAACTTTTACATTTGTCTCTAGTGAGATTAGAGAATTAGGTTTTGGGAAGGGGGGGATAATGGAAATTCTTAAGAATTTGCCTAGCTCTTTGATTCTAAACAATCCATTGGAGCAAATGCAAATCCATTTTTCTAGCACACATATGGTATTATGACATTTATATAGGGTCATAAGTGACCCTTGTTAGGGGGTAGGGTTACAGTTTGTGTTTTGATTCTCCATGGAGCTGCTGCTATTCAGTAATATCTAGAGTCAATTTCCTTTTCTTTCATTTGCTATTTCTTCTTTTCTGTGTTACTTATTCTGCCATTTATTCCACTGTCAAAAATTCTAGGGAGGTAAAGGTTTAAAAAAAGAGTCACCATACGGATTCAGTGACTAATATGAGAAAAGAGAATAGAAGACTGTTTTGATGGCTAAGAAAGATTCATTTGGCCTATCATGAGTTTTAGGTAGAAATTCCTAAAAGATTCCCTTTTTATGTTGTGAGACAAATTAATCTTAACCAATGTTAGCTCTTTGGATTTCAGGCCTTTTTGTAATATGTAGGCACTATTAAAGCAAATCTGTTAAGAGATTACTTCACAATTCACCTAAAAAGTAGGGTGTAACTAAAATTAACAGTATTTAGGGAATTGTGTTATTTTACTCCTTTGGGATATTTCCTCCTTTTGAATTTATGCTACAGATAATATTTAGCAAATATAACTGAATGTATACTATGCAAAACAATATTTTAGCCCATTTTGTAACAGGTACATTAGCTATTCAGAGTGGATTTCCATTAGCTTAGAAACAGATTGCTATACCTTCTGATGTAGAGAGTACTTTCTCAAGGGAGTTCCATGATAAATAATACATCAAAAAGAAATATCATGAACCAAGTTAGAAATCAGAGCAAAGTTTCAGCCCTGCTTGGAATTGCTACAGTGTAATATCATGAAACAGCACTAAAATTCAAGACAAATATACACAAAATGTAGTTAAAAACATTCTTCAATGAGTCCAAAGGTTTGAAGCTGTCAAATAACTTATTAACTTGTTTTCTCAGTCATGCAGCACCTGTGAAGGACATAATGTTTATTTTAGAGTATTTTAGCAAGGAGGAATGGAAATGTGGGAAGGAAAATAAATTATCTTGTAGAGAAAAATACTGTGATTGAAAATAGAATCCAAGGAAAGTGCTAATTAGAAATGTTTAATAAAAACTAAATAAATTAAAAGAGAAGATCCAAGATAAAAAGAACTGTAAGAATGGTTGCTTCTTCCCATTACAGTTTTGTAAAAATGAGCTCCAGGGCAGGCCTGGGTGGCTCAGCGGTTTAGCGCCGCCTTCAGCCCAGGGTGTGATTTTGGAGACCTGGGATCGAGTCCCACATCAGGCACCCTACATGGAGCCTGCTTCTCCCTCTGCCTGTGTCTCTGCCTCTTTCTCTTTCTCTCTCCCTCTCTCTCTCTGTGTCTCTCATGAATAAATAAATAAAATCTTCAAAAATAAAATAATTTTTTAAAAAATGAGTTCCAATTTAATGTAGGACATTATTAGGAAGGGTGATTAATCACATTAGTGCAATAAGAAATTTGACTCAATAGTGCAAATAAGCTGTACAGTTAATTATTCATTATATGTTTTTATTTGTCCTTGGAATGTGTTTTTTGTACTTATCTCTCTAGGGCTTTATTTGATAGTCTGGGAACTTATTTCAAACACTATGAAGATCTGACTCAGGAAGTGCTGGGAAGCAGTCCAGTGTGTTTATCCTGACCCTTGTTCAACTTCTTCCTGCAGTTCACTCCATGCTGGGAATAGACAACTCTCTTCTGAGGCTGAGGCTAACCAGACTATGCAGAACTTTCTTCTCTCCAACATTCTGTGGAACTGGGGTAGTTAAGTGCTTGGGTTTCTAAGGGCTCCTTGAAAAGCAACGTGGAAAAAATAAATAGATGGCCTGTTAGTCAAGTAAATAATTGAGTAGAAAAAGGTCATGAAATTTAAAATGAAGTTTGTAGGGAATTCAAATCATCATCCACTGGTGGATATTGGAAATTTAGAATTTATTAAGTAAGAATATAACTGTAATTATATTAATATTTTCTATGAAATAAATTAATGCATTCTAATTTTTATTCCAATGAGAAAGCACTTTGAAATCTAAAAAACAAAAAACTTTTGAATGACTTTGAAGCCTAGAATCCTGCTGGATATATTTCTTTGAATGTTTAATATTAAAAGTCATATTAAAGAATGTTTAATATTAAAAGTAATATTTGTCCTTTTTTTGTTTTTTCTTCGGATACCAATTCTATTTGTGATTATGCATTTTAAAATCACTAAAGGACCTTCTATTTAAATGAACTCTGATAAGTCTGCCAACATAATCACCTCCTGATTATTTGGGTGGGGGAGTCTTTGTAATCTGAATTTTTTATGTATCAAGGTTTTTTTTTTTTTAAGCAATAGGTATCTGCAAGCTTACATGTTACTTTAAATCTATTTGTGAACACTTTAAAAATTATTAAGCATTGTTTTTCCTTTTCCATCTATAAAATAATTTTGTTTCCCTCTCTATCTTAACTGAGCCATCGTCATTCAATAGAAAATACACAATTGCCTCAGTAAAGGCTGGGGAAAGTCTTAACAAGAAATTGTTAATACCATCGTGTTGTGATTATTTTGTTAACAGTAAAAACCTTTGACTGTTAGAATGCTTAACTCAAAAACTGGATTTCCTGAACATTCATGTTAGTAAAAATACACATTATTAGTGTATATTTTGGTTTGGATAATTATTCCTGTTTTTCTTTCCTGCTGTAGTCGAATGGATCGCAGCAGTTACTATTGCTGCTGGGACAGCTGCAATTGGTTATCTAGCTTACAGAAGGTTTTATGTTAAAGATCATCGCAACAAATCTATGGTAAACCTTCACATCCAGAAAGACAACCCCAAGATAGTACATGCTTATGACATGGAGGATTTGGGAGATAAAGCTGTGTACTGTCGTTGTTGGAGGTCCAAAAAGGTGAGGAAAACAAGTCTTTTATGTTAGTTCCATCTTTAATTTAATATTTCTTTTTAAACTATTCTATCAAACATGTATCACCAGATATTATTAGGATACCTCCTCCTCTTCCTCCTCCTTCTCCCCCTTCCCTCCTTTTCTTTCTTTTCTTTTTCTTTCTTTCTTTCTTTTTTTTTTTAAATTAGTCTCTGTGCCCATCTTAATCTCACAACCTGAGGTTAAGAGTTGCACGCTGCACTGACTGAGCCAGCCAGGTGCCCCTTTTCTTTAACGCATCCTGTTCTTCTCTGTTTTACATGGACTCTTCAGGAATATCGTTCCTAAAATGTATTAACTACTGTGCAGTAAAATTCCATTATTCCCTTATTGAGTTTAGGTGAACATAACTGTGTTTTTGGCCAAGAAGGGAAAAAAATCCCTTATTTATTCTTAGGATTTTCTCTCCAAACGGATCGTTGCTTCCAGTATCCCGGGAAAGAGTGTATGCAGCCTAAAATATGAAGAGAAACAGAAGGGAAATTCTTTTCGTGAGCTTTCAAGCTCCTGGATTCTAGGACAAGTTTTAGAAAATTCAAGAGAAATTTGGAAAACTACCCTTGATATATTGACCCCGTATCTAAGCTTTCTTTAAGCTATAGCTCCTATAGTTAAATACATAACAGGGTTTTTAAAATGTGCTTTTGTGATAACATTTCATCAAGTTCTTTTTGGAGCTGTCATCTGTGATACCTCCAGCTTTTAGGCAACTTTTAGACAGTGATGACAGCTAGTGACCTAAAGATGGTATAATGCTTTCCTAAGGTCATCTCGAAAAGCTTCATACATTGAATGATTTCAGAATTTCTCATATATTGTGAGATACATGGTCAATATACTGTATGTACTGCCACTATTAGCATTTAAATAAAATGGATTTCACCAAAGATAACACTATAACACATTTAAAAAAGGACAATAAAAGTTATGTTTCTGAAAGCACATGTCAGGAACCACCTCTTCCCACAGTGGAAAGCCATTATCACAAATCAGGAAGAAGTTACATACTAGGTACTGGAAAGTATATTCTTTTTTTTTTTTTTTTTTAAGATTTTATTTACTCATGAGAGACACAGAGAGGCAGAGACATAGCCAGAGGGAGAGGCAGGCTCCCCATGGATAGCCTGATGTGGGACTAGATCCCAGGACCTCAGGATCATGACCTGAGCCAAAGGCAGAGATGCTCAATCAGTGAGCCACCCAGGTGCCCCTGGAAAATGTATTCTAACTCCCTTCCCCAATATAACGATATTGTATAATCCAGTGATCTAGTGTTTAGATAATGTGATTATATCTGAAGCTGCTTGATGAACATATAGAATGTAAACCAAAATTAACAGCCCCATTACAAGTTGTAACTTAAAAAGAACACTGTTCATTTGGTATGTGGGATTATTTGTAAGTACTAGTAGAGGCACTAGAAAATACTCTTCAGTAATATTCTGTAGACTAGACCTGGTTTGCTTTTTAAAATTTATGCCCGTAATAGGTGTCACCTCCTGTTGCTCATCAAAATATACAAAACAATACCTTTAGAGATTCAAGAATGTTTAAGTCATTTTGGTAGTTCTTTAGTCAATGATCATATAATGTCTACTATATATGCATGAGAAAAGTTAAATAGTAAAATAGCAGGTATCATAGATCTGTACAGTAGACTCAGTACAGGTGCTTAAAATAAAAGAAAAAGCTTACAGTGTGGGCTAGAATTTTCTGGGAAGGCATACGGATATACATGGGAGTTAAATTGCCCCTGGAAAATTTGTTGGTATTTGAATAAACTAGCAAGTTTGGGGAACTCTTTCTCAAAATCTGTAGGAAAGGACCCTTGTGAGTAAGGTTGGGATCAGTGAAGAATCTAGTCTGGTCATTGCTCTTCCATCCCCTGAGGTATAAGTTCAAATTAAGGAGCATCTTGGGTATCTGTGTGTGGGGTTTGTGCCTCCAGACATTGGGGAGCTTCTTGTTGGGTTTTTAGACAAAGTTATGATGCTTACCCCAGAGTGATAGCTCTAGGGATGGATAAAAATGAACAGATACAAGAAACATTTTGAGGGAAGGATAAGCCAAATGTACTGACTGATTTATGAGGGAGATTGGCGGAGAAAAACTGAAACTCGTTACAGTATCTAAACGTGTTATTAGAAAGATGGTACTGTTAACAGAAATAGGACTGCAAGAAGAAAAGCTGACTTTCTAGGACAGTGACCAGGAATTCAATTCCAAAGGAATTTTGAGGTGATGTTTGAATGGAAATGTCCAGCAGATAATCTGAAATGTGAGTCTAAGGCTGAGACATCAGGGTTGAAGATAGAGATCAGCAAAACTGATGAGTCAAACATAAGAATGCAACAGATTCTTGATGCAGATAAAAATCAAGGGCTAAGTATGAAATCTTAGTGAATTATTTACATTTTGGAAAGAGGAATGAGTCAAAAAGGAGATGAATTGAGCCAGAGTCAAAAGAAAACCAAGAATATCACAGTTTTACAGTGGAAATGAGAAAGTTTCAAAGATTTGGCTGTGAACATTGGCTTGTGCAGAGACACCTAAGTGAATATTATATAAAACGTTGGATTACACATTTAGGCCATTGACCTTTTAGTGTCATTTCAACAGAATAATTAGAATAGAAGCTATGTCTAAGTGGGTTAAAGTATGAATTATTAATAAAGAAATGCTAGAAGTTTGAGTATATGTCAAAATTTTAGTAAACATGGCAGTGAATGGAAAGGGAAAGTAATAAGATGACTGTTTGAGTGAACTTTAAAGCATAGATTTGGGGTCAAATAAAGGGTGTTTGTTTTGGTTGGGTTCTTCCAGAGGGTAAAGGAGAGGTCAATAAAGCAAATAGGAAATTATGAGGACTAAGATCTTAAGTATTTCAGGAAGAATCACAAGCGCACACCAACTAGTGATTTAAATGTTTATTAGACTTTATAATTCAACAAAACATTCTGGGATTACTTTTTCATCATACAGTTTAGAGTTTCCAGATGGGTAAACTAGAGATGGTCATTTCCCCTAGGTAGATTTCGAGGAAAGGAATGCCAGACCAGTCTTTTTATTTCCCATTTTCTCTCTTATTTTAAGCTCATCTTTTATGCTGTTAGTGATCCTCTTTGCATCCAGGATTTGTCGGTTTTGAATTTTCACTGAATCTTAGGAACTTTTTATTCCCACATGAATCAGTTAAGAGTTCACTTTGAATATTATTCATACTAATGGATGTTTTTATTCTTCAGATATTTTTGGAAACCCCACATTTCTGAGATACCTAAGGTTATCACAGTGGTGCCAGCTCACACACTTACATGCAAGATCACAGAAGATTCGCAATTAATGCCTTTGATTAGATGTCTCTATTGAGTTCATATTCAGTAATTTTTTTCTCAGACAAACCAGTTGTGTTTCTAATATGACAAAATGAAAACACCTTTCTACTTATCTTGAAAAAGTACATGTGATAGAAATTTTAATTCAGTTCTAATTCATTCTAAGGGTACAATCACTAGTAGCCCATTATGTGGGTCTAACATTTTTGAGTGGTTTTTCCAGGCCTAATGAATCATTTCTTAACAGTGTGCAGAAATTACATTTTAAGATTTACCTTAAGATTTGGGGGCAGCCCGGGTGGCTCAGCAGTTTAGCGCCACCTTCCGCCCAGGGTGTGATCTTAGAGACCCGGATTCGAGTCCCACGTCAGGCTCCCTGCATGGAGCCTACTTCTCCCTCTACCTGTCTCTGTCTCTCTCTTTCTCTCTCCTATCTGTGTCTCTCATGAATAAATAAAATCTTTAAAAAAAATTTACCTCATTTGTCCTCCCCTCTCCCCTCTCCCCCCCTTATGCCCTCTGCTGTTTCAGAAACTGGCCTATTTCACAGTATTTCACAAGAGGGCTATCCATATGTGACAGGAGAAAGAAAAGAGGCAATAGAGAAGTGACTGCAGGGAAAGATACTATTTGAGACTGTGATGTCTTGAAAGAGGTGGAAGGAAATGAGAGTAAGAGCACAAATGTGAAACTTAGGAAGGAAGAGAGAGCCTTATTTTCGAAATAAGAAAATAGAACTTTGATGTCAGAGGGAAAAGTATGCAACATAGTCTTGCTAGATTCCCAGCCTGAGTTGGGCTGAGTTGTCTGTTGGCCATTAGGAGGCAGGAGAGAGTTTGAACAAGGACAGTAGAAGGATGCATGCTAAGAAATAAGAACAGAGGAAGGGTGTGCCAGTTACTGTCAGGAGCTCAACTGAAGTCGAAATGAAATGCAGCTGAACAGACTATGTAGAATCATTTTGTTTCATTTACAACTTTAGGATTTGAATTGTCTCTTGTTTGTTTTGTTTTGTTAGTGGTGTGCTTGTTTTTGTTCTGGGGGTTGTATATGTGTTAACAGAAGTCTCCATCCTATTAATGGTTTGGAGGTGGATGCGTGGAGTACATTTCTTCATAGAAATAAAATTCAGAGTGTTGGTTACATAGCTTGTCCAATCTACATAAGGACAGTCTTGTAAAATCTTAATTTCTCTTAATATGTTTTACTACTATCTTACATTTTACTAAAGCAAGTACCTAAGAATGGAATAAAATGTCATGTCCTCTCAGGTAGTGTCAAATCTTACTGCTTTTCTTCCTCAACCAAAGAAAAAGACTATTTCTTAGAGCAGTTTATGGTAGTGAGTCAAAATAGCACCAGGCAACTTCCTTGGGAAATAGAAACCATACTCATTAAGAATACAAAGTTTGGAGAAGGAAGGTAAATGTTTTTTTTTAATTTGTTGCAGATAGTAGAGATAAGCAGGAATACTTATTTTTATCTTCAAATACCCAGAAAACAGAAACATCACAACCTGAGATTGGGACCATTAAAAAGAAACAAATCTTGTGTATTTTATGAAGATCGATGATGTTAACTAGCTTTCCAAATGAAAAGCAAGAATCTCTAGGGTTTTTTTAAAATCCTAATCATTTATTATAGCCCCTTCTCTAAACCATATAAAAATATGGGACTTTTAGTTTTCTAATTTAGTTAGCCAACATAAGATATTTTCTGGACATTTAGGAAATTCAGCCAATTTAATTTTCAAGCTTTTTTCCAGGATTCATTAATAACAAACACTGGCATGTAAGAACAGATATTTTAAAGATTTTATTTATTTATTCATGAGAGACACAGAGAGAGAGAAGGCAGAGGCATAGGCAGAGGCAGAAGCAAGCTCCATGCAGGGAGCCTGATGTGGGACTCCATCCCGGGACTCAATCCCAGGACTCCAGGATCATGTCCTGGTCCAAAGGCAGGCGCTCAACCACCGAGCCACCCAGGAGCCCCTAGAACAGATTTTAGAACCACTTAATGAGCTAAACTTTTTTCCATCAGTGTTTTGATTCTTTAGGTTTTACTTTTTAAGTATTGATACCACGTGAATTAAATATACCCTTTGCATTTTTTTGTAATTTTAGCTCTTTGCTTGACAGTTTAACAAATTTCAAAATTTTAAATGAAAGAGAATAATTCGTGTTTTTGACATGTAATGTTTTTGTTGCATTATTAAAACTACTAGGTTACGATTAAAAGTATACACATATTTTCTTTCTTTTGCATAGAAAAGTTAAATAGAACAAGACACTTCCTGAAAAACATAAATATTGTTATGTAATTTACCATTTGAATTTTAGTGCCAACTAATTGGCATTCACTTATTTGAGAATCATGAGTTAATTTTAATAAATGTATCCCAGTAATATGTACAGTATATTCTCAAGAATTTGCTAATCCAGTCTTGAAATAACTCATTTTGGTCCTGGCTGAAAAAGAAAAGTTTTGGTTTTTCATTAACTTAAAGTGAGAAACTCTCTATTGAATAAATATAATGAGAATACTTAATCTTCACATGAAGTTTGGGAGAGGAATTTGATTTAAATCAGTGATTCCTGGGATTAATAAAGTACTATTAAAAGATATCTGTGTCTCTGAATAAAATGATTTTTGATTTTTAATCTTAATTTATGTTTTAAAGTCCTAAAAGCTTTATTATAAAAGCATGAACCTTTATTAAACAAATGGCCAATATCTACTATTCACTGCTTTTTAAAGAAATACTTATTTTTTCTTTTAAAACAGGAAACAGGCAAATTTTGGTTTTAGGCAGACTAGTTTATCATATAAAAAGTATATTCTCGGGGATCGCTGGGTGGGTCAGCGGTTTAGCGCCTGCCTTAGGCTCAGGGCATGATCCTGGAGTCCTGAGATGGAGTCCCACATCAGGTTCCCTGCATAGAGCCTGCTTCTCCTTCTTCCTGTGTCTCTGCCTCTCTCTCTCTCTGTGTCTCTAATGAATAAATAAATAAAAATTTTTTAAAAGTATATTCTCATTTTAGATGTATGGCTTTCTCAATCTTTTATAAGATGTTTTTTGTATATTTCTCTATAGATGTCTTTCCTGTTTTTGATTCTGTATTTAGAGAGAAATGATTTTTAAAACTGTATTATTTTTCTAGTATTTTCAAAATGAGATTAAACATGCTATTTCAGTAAGTTATTTGAAGCTTTTTAATTTGTAAATACTTCATTTTTCAGAAATTTAATTTAGAACCTAAATATGTAAAACTGTATAGTAACATGTTTTATATGTGCCTTTTATAAAAAGTGAGGTCTTTTACAATCTAAACTTGTATTCTCACTGTAAAATAGTCTGTTTATATATTAATCATATGTCACCTTGAAATGCTGTTATTTGCTATGGGGTACATTTTAGTTTGATTTTTATGGATTGTTATGGCCACTTTCTTCATCCATGCCAAGAAAAAATGAAAGCTTAGGTTGATGTTTTTATGTTTTTGTTGCAAGGACTTGTTTTATTTTTTTATTTTTTATTTTTTTTCAAGGACTGTTTTAAACATGAATTTACTTTGTACCATATCTTATTGACCAAAAAAAAAAAAAAAAAGAAAGAAAGAAAGAAAGAAAGAAAGAAAAGAAAGAATGGAAGCTTTATTTGTATATATTGCATTAATATTGCCATCTACCCCAAAATAGATTATTTACTTGGAAACATTAAACATGCTGGTACCTTGACTTTTTCTGTAATTTTTAACTAATTTACTGTATCTTGGAATAATATACAAATAGTAAAATTAAAATTGAATTTCTTTAACATCAACCAAATATTTTTTTTAATATTAGAATAGACACTTCTAATGTCAAAGTTTAAGATTGTCTATTTTCAGGTATCTAAAATCATACTGCCTTCACTGTGAGTAATGAGGCAATTTTAATCCTAAGGCTAAGATTCCTGTTACTTTACTTTTGTAAATAGGCCTCTTCAGTGCAGTAATGTACCTTATACCAAACAATGAAACTCTAAATTCTAGAGTGTAGGTACGTTTCAGACATCAAGAATGAAACAAAGATGCTAGCTGTCATCCTTTGATGTGAAATAGAAATAAAATACATAAATACAGAAGGAAAAAAAAACAAAATAGTTACTGATAATTGGATCTTCTAAATGTAAAGTCCTGAGGAGACACCTAAAACATTGTTGAATTCGTATGTTTATCATTTAACAGTAGGAAGGATATACTTGCAAAAACCATTGATAATATATAGCATAAGTAGTTAGCTATGAAAATATACTTAATTATGCTAACTATAAAATATATAAGGCAGAAATAATGGTATCAGAGTATGTATGAGACCTACCTGAAAATGAGAATTCCAAAAGAATTTAATAGTACATGGGAAAAAAAATTCTCAAGTTTATCTATTTGAATAAAGCTTAATAAAGGTAGGTAGAGAATAAATAGGAAAGGTCTAACAAGAATAAGGAAACCTAGCCCTAATCTAAAGCATATTTTAAACATGGTTATAAATAAAGTCTGCTGTATAGAACACGAATACTAGATTTCAAAGTTAAAAGTGTTTGTGGTTTAGTCAGCTTGGGAAATTTTGAGTATTTTTTAATAGCAGAACTTCTTTTAAATAATAATGTATGCTACAAATCAAAAGAATTATATGTTCTTAAAACACAGCGAAATCAAATCACATATTTTAGGATTTAACAACTTTGGAGCACACTTTGACAAGCACTGTGAGAAATTTACTTCTGTCACATTTTCTACCACCGGACCCCAAAATGTCAATTATATTAAATGAAATCATGAAAAGTAATGAAAATTTACCACATTTCTAGGAGAAAGATGTCTCCATGAAGAATGTTAAACAGGGAAGCACTGACATGTTTGTATGAAAGTGGAGAAGTTAATATGAAAAAATAAGCAAAATTAAAAGGCTTGGGAAAAATTGCTACAAAGGTAATCAAGAAAAGAATAATATACAAATTGATTTTAAACAAATGAACTTAGGCTCTAAATGCACATGGTTCACTAGAAGAGAAATGTAACTGGAACTAGCATATAAACATGGAAAAGATATTCAGTATCCACAATCAAATATCACAAATGAAAATGCAATTAATGATCTGTGTATTATCCACAAGTTAGTGGATATACTTAGTGTATATACTTTACATATGCTCTTTAAGAGCACCTGTATAATGTGGTCTAGGAAGATCTTTTTATTAAGAGTTATCCTGTGTGTTAAATTTGTAAATTAAGCATCACCCCCACTCTACCAAGCTAATATTGATTTTATGATTAGACATTGACATTCTCTCTTTTCCTAGTTTCCATTCTGTGATGGATCTCACACAAAACACAATGAAGAGACTGGAGACAACGTGGGACCTCTGATCATTAAGAAAAAGGAAACTTAAATGGACAGTTTTGATGCTGCAAACCAGCTTGTCATGATGTCATCTGACTGTTTAATTAGAATGACTATCACCTCTGTCTGTTCACCTCCCCTGGGTTCTAGATGTGATGTATTGCAAATTGCAGCTTTCATATTCACGGCATTTGCCTTATTTGTTGAACCATTGTGGTGCACATTTGTTTAAACAAAAAAAGGAAAAAGTAAAAACCAACCTCATGGCCTGTGGGTTATTTTGGTCTTGTAAGGATCCGTTTCTTTATGTTTAAATAATTATATTAGAATATAGTTGTATGTCGAAGTTAACATATATTCTCAAAATCATGTATGTGCAGGTTGTACTTAGAAGTTTCAAAGAAAATTATCACCTTTTAATATTACTTAGTTAATCTAGAAAGTAAATTGGGTGTGATTAAGCTATATTAATGTCTTAATATGACCTTGATTCTCTTCTTGATAGAGTTGATGATATGGAAACTATAGCTTCCATGTTTTCATAGTTTTTAATCAAAATGAACTTGGAATGTTATTCTGCTTAATTACAAGTGGGCCAGGTCTAAAATAAAAGGGTGCAGTAGCTTCTTTATTCATTTTTATAGGTATTTAATTGACCTATTAAAGGAACCATACTGGAAATTTAGATCAAAGTGATATTAGACTTAAAGTAGTCATGAAGAAAGTCTTAAGATTTAATATTACAGAATTCTATTCCAAGAAATGGCAAGCACTCAAAGCAGGGACATTGAAGGAATTGGAGCACATGATGTCAGATCTCTTGAACAGAAAGCCATGCATCCATGACAGAAATAGTAGTCACAAAGCTAGATCAAAGACACAGGTAGATTTATTTCCCACTCTTGATAATCAGGCACACAGCTGTTCTCAGTAAAGAAGCTATTTGGGGGAGAAAAGTAATTACATTTTCTTAAATTGTGTGATCTTAAAGGCAAAAGTTTGAAGACAAGTTTTTGTTTATATAATATTCTTCAAAGACTCAGACCAGAAACATTACATTCATTCCTGATTCAGAAAAAAAAAATGTGAAAACTGAAAATAATTAGGAGCAATAAAAATATTAAGACAGGAATTGTTAATATGTGTATTTTTAAAGAAATTAGTTCTTTTATGGGTGAGAAGGAAAAATTGGGACAGAATATTTACATAACAATTCGACAAAGGTAACAAGAATATTCTCATTTTTTTAGTATACTTGAATTCTCAGTAGTCATCACGTTTCTACGTGCTAAAATCCAAAATTACCTTGAAAATCACTGGAATCAAACCAAGTATTAGCATTTCTATATTATATATGATCACAGATATTTTTAAAATGTACAATTTTGTATATTACAGTAGGTAGAGTTTATACCAAAATTGCATATACTGGTTTTAAGCAGCCCATGTGACTTATTTGGATGTGTTTTTAAGGCACATTTTTAATACAAAATCTAAAATACTACAAACCCTGATTCTGCCTATCAGTTTCTTGAGGTGAATTTCTTTCTGTGCCTCTGCCCTCTGTTTTAAGTAAATAGGAGTGGGTCTGCAAAAGAAGCATCATACTTTTACAGGTTGTTTTAAAAATAAACCCATGAACTCCCAGTTTCTGATAATGGGACATCCTTTTAACAGACTAAACTGTATTCTTAATTTTGAATTTGAAATTACATTGTTAGTCATGCATTTTTGTAGCTAGTGCAGGGAGGGGGGAAATTAGTGCCAATTCTCAAAACTTTCAAAGGAATAAGATTAAGTGTATGTTTGTGGTGGAATTAGAATTGATAGCTGAATTGAAATGCAGATCTATAGCATTTTGATAGTTCAAACAATTAGATAAATGTATCCCCAAGGTCATGTTAAAATTTTGTTACATGCTCCTGAACTATAATTCCTTTAAGATATTAAAACTTCCATGTTACTTAACCTAAAAAAGTAAAGGGGGTATGAAGATGTTTTTACACAAAAATTGTGTGCAAATATTGTTCTCACTTAAGCACCCTAAGACATCTGATTGCTTTTTCATTTGAGAAAACTGATAAATGGGGTTCCCTCACACCACCACTATCTTTTTTTTCTCCACACACTAATGTTCTAATGATTTCTGAAACAGGATTTTGTGCTAGTTGAGAGTTTCTTAGGAAGAAACTTGTTTTTTCAGTGATTGAAAGTGTCGCTCATCTGTTAGTACAACAGACATTTATTAAGTATCTTCCATAGACCATGTAATTGAGAATGAAACATTTTGGAGAATTAAAAGTTCACAGATAAGATTATATGATACAGGAGAACTTGGTTCTTGTCTCACAGAGTCAAAGAATGAATCTTGTGGACACAGGAGAGTGAGTAAAGTGATAGTTTATTAAACAAAGATACAGAGAAAGTTCTCAGATGTGAGAGGGTTCCTGAAAGGGTTGCCACTGAGGGCTTGTAGGGGCAGTCATTTATTGAGAACTGACTGGGAAACTTGTGGCCTTGAGATTCTTGTGCTGTCTTGGCTTGAGTTAGGACTGTGATAACATCTTTAATGGCTTACTTCTTCTTTGGGGTCTGGTTATTTTGTTGGTCATAGATGACTGTCTTTATATAAAAAGACACCCTACCCCCTACACACACACACCTAGGGCAGGGTAGTCTGGCTTGCTCCCTTATCTCTGGTTTCCTTACACCTCAGCATTTTTGGGATTTCTGTGAGCCTGATTCTGTGGCCCCCTACCTAGCCCTGCCTATCCCTGCCTGAGCCTAACAACATCATTTATGAGGTAGGTTATATAATTATAATTTGTGGTTTGCGGTTTTCCTTAATAAATTATTACAGGTACAGTTGTGTATACCAAGTTTTTATACTACAAAGTAGGTGGATTTCTTTGATTTTTCATTAGTTATGAAGGATTTGGGTTTGGTTTTAAGATAAACATTCTGATTAACAACATGTTTAGTGCTCGTGTATCTGAGAAGGTGTATTATCTACTAATTGTCAGAATCTATGCTTTCTCTCTGAGGTTAATGGTTAACACAAGATGATTTCAGGTAAAGCTACTCATCTCTCAGCTTCTATTTAAAAATGGTTGGACAGGGATCCCTGGGTGGTGCAGCGGTTTAGCGCCTGCCTTTGGCCCAGGGCGCCATCCTGGAGACCCGGGATCGAATCCCACGTCAGGCTCCCGGTGCATGGAGCCTGCTTCTCCCTCTGCCTATGTCTCTGCCCCCCCCCCTGTGACTATCATAAATAAATAAAAATTAAAAAAAATAAAAATAAAAAAATAAAAATGGTTGGACAAAGTGACATTTTAGGCAATTTGCAAATTCTAGGCCAACCTTAACTTTTCAGCATCCAAAAAGGAAATAAGTAAAAAGTTGATAGGTTATCAGCTTGAATTTAATTTTTATTATAAGATTATTCCAAGTTTTGTTGTATTGGAGGAAATGTTGGTAATAGTATTAGTTGCCTTAAGTATCCTTACTTGGCAAAATGAAAACTTAACAGCTCTGTATTGGTCCCCACTTTAACTCCATGAAATCCAAAAGTCTGGGAACCACTAAGCCAATGTCCTATCTAAAGTTCTGAGACTTACTATTTTATCAAGGTATTAAAATAATACAGTTTTATTCATTTTGATATTTAGTTTGTTTATTTGAAATTTTTCCTATATGATTACAGTGTTTTGAGGTTTCATGCAAAGTTCTTAATCTATAAGAAATCATTTTTAGGGATCCCTGGGTGGCGCAGCGGTTTGGCGCCTGCCTTTGGCCCAGGGCGCGATCCTGGAGATCCGGGATCGAATCCCACGTCGGGCTCCCGGTGCATGGAGCCTGCTTCTCCCTCTGCCTATGTCTCTGCCTCTCTCTCTTTCTCTCTCTGTGACTATCATAAATAAATAAAAATTAAAAAAAATTAAAAAAAAAAAAAGAAAAAAAAAGAAATCATTTTTATTTATAGCCTGAGAAAAGGCTATATTTTTGTGGACTTTAATTTCATAAACAAAAGAATTGTATAAGTTAACTGAAGTTGCCAGGAATTATGACAAAGGGGGAAAACCGGGATTTTGATTTATTGATTAAAATCTTTAAAATAATTTTGAATATTGCCCACCTATCTACCTATGAGCTTATTACTGTAGGATAATTTTTTTGTTGTTGTTGGTAATATTGCCTACTAACATTTTCATTATTGGATTAGGCAGTGAGTGACTTGTCTAACTTCATATTCAAGATAGATGGGAGATTATGTCTCTTACAGCCCTATCATTCATTACATGTAGCTAAATCTGTTATATTTCAAAATCTCCAACCATGAAAGGTAGAGATCCATTTATGTACTTCATCTGCACAGAAATTCTTTTTCCTTGTCCCAAATTTTCTTGATATAGGCTTCATTTCTTCATTTTAGACAATAAGGCTGTGTGTTGACTTTAATACCATTTTTTATTCTTTTGAAATTCCTCAGCCTTCATCTCTCCAATTTGTAGTCTGCCCTGTAATCATCACATGAACCTTTTCCTTATCTTTCACCTCTAGGTCCCTTCCAACAGAAAGCATTTTGATCATCACTAAAGCAAACAATTCTCTTAATACTGTTGCTCTTAGGATCCACTGGGAAGCTGTTTCTAGCACAGAAGCTAAAATACATTGGCTTTCCATTGCTGGTTACTCTTCCATTCTGACCCTGGATGCCACTTCATGTAAATTCTCTGATAATAAAAATATTAAACCATAACTTAGATTTCTTTTTTTTTTATAACTTAGATTTCTTAATTTAACATTGCCATCCAGTGTATGCCCTTAAGTCCCTGTTCCTCCAGTACCTTTGTACTCCCAAAATTCAAGTCACTTGTAGCAGCTTGCAGTTTATGGCTTTGTTACTCCTTTATGCTTTTGTCATCTTGTTTACCAAAGTCCTTGGTCATGCTACATGACTCACTTTTTTTGAAACCCTGAGAAAGAAAAATTTTCAAATTTTAATATTACAATATAACCAGTACCCAAAACAATTACAAGCACATAGCAGGTAATCAGTAAACACTTGTTTTAATTAGTAAGAGACTTGAATGTAATTTCAAAAGAATACAATGGTAATTCCCCAAAGTCAGTATTTGTCTTTCTCTACACTCAAAATCCTGGTTAGCTTTTTTTTTTTTTTTTTTTTTTTTTTTTTCAGATTTGCTTCTTTACATCCAGTACTATAAACCTTTGAACATGCCTATTGGGAAAATTTACTAAGTAGCTATATTATCCT